CATATGATTGCCACCTCTCTTATTTTACTTACTCTATGCTCACCACCCAACGCTGCCACCTATGCTCTACTACTGTTACTGAAGAATGAATGATCGATTATGAACTAAGGGAAAATTTAATTTATAGTTGAAATCTAACCGTATGTTACATTTGCTAGTCTCTTCAGGAGCTGCTCAATGTGGAGTAATTTTTGCTAAATGCAAGGTGATATATTCACTTACACTTGGAGTCAGGTAGAGTGATTTTTCGACAATGCTTATAAAATATGTCATATCAATGAGAATAACTATTTGTATCAAAAGATGGCTTGAACATGGCTTGAACAGGTGTGATCTAGTTGATACATGCAAGGAAGGACACATTTAATTAATTAAACGTGAATTGAACTTCAGAAGAACTTCCGAACTCTATACAGGTTGTACGAAAGTGTTAATTAACAAGTAAGAATAAAAGGTAAGACAGACCAATATTCTATAATGCAGTAAACAGTTTACTGGCCGTGTGCACACAAAATTGTCCGGTAGACTTCGATTTTAGAATCGAAAATCAAAGAAATAAAAGAAGATTTTGAAGAAATGTTATAAGCGGTCTAAAGCTGGTAGGAATGAATAAAGTCCAGATATCCAAAAAATCGCTTACCTTTGAGAGAACAATTGAAATATGCCTTATTAATAAAAATATATTATTTATAAATTTAAAATCAATATGGATTGCGGTTAATCATTTCATTATTACGGTAAATGTAACGGTTTTGTTCAAGAAAATGGAAGTGCAACTGGAAATTTGTAAAAAAAAGATATTTGGCGTTAATCGGTGCTTAATATGCCCTTATATAATCTAATATCTTAAGCAATCAGTTTCAAAGTTTTTTAAAATMTTATCTCCTCAGAGCCTACTTCTGATAGCTGCGAGTTGCCCTACTTATTTTGGGTTTGTACATCCTGTAAAGTATGACGCAAAATTGATCAAACTTTCCTCACGGAAAGTTGCAAGAAATGAATAAATTTGTTATTAAATTTAAAAAAATTCTTAATATTTGTTATGGAAAGAGTATTGGGTATTGGTGATGTGGAAGAGTTAATCGGAAGAGGCCAAATGTCCCAGAATAAATCCTAGAAGACCAACTGGGACCCACAATTGAAGACAAAATATTATGGCAAAATTATGAATCTTCAGGTTCATGAGTCGTGAACCAAATTCATTTTTTTAATGATTTACCGAAAGTTCAAAGAAAATTCGGGGGTAATGCTATCCAAGGAAAGCACATTTTCAAATTCTTTGCCGCCTTTAACAGACGATATGGAAAATGCGCAATATTCAAATATTTGTTCAAGATCTTTCGAGAAAATCATAAAATTATGTTTCTTTCCTTGCCCTCTGATCAATGGATTTGTTGGTCTGTTCTATCTGAACCATGTTCATCTTTACGTCCTCGTTTATATGCTTGAGAGCAGTTTTGTTAAATGGTAACAGAGTCATAGTTCTCTGGGTGTTCCTGGGTTCCCATTCATTTGCAATGTTAGGAGCATTTATTAGTTTATTAAACAATTTCGTTTATTTGGTTGTTAGCTTCTTATTGCCTGGCTTTGTGAGCTCATTAGGTTCCACTCAGGGGGTTCTCCAGTTGTTCAGTCTTATTCACCTATTATTTTTTGCTATTTTTTCTGAACTTTCTATGGTTGATCTTATTAATATATATATATCTCCCATTCTTCTGGCTGTAACCTGTTGGTCTCAATACTTTCTTCTTTGGGGTCTTCCAATTCTTCCTTTACGCAGAGGCGGATCCAGCTTTCAAGTCAGGGGGGGTCATGTAGTAGAAATTCAGTTTTTTGCTGTTTGCTGTGTATGAAATTAGAAAAATTATCGTTAGTCGACATAAACCCAGCACAAGGGACCCCCCATGATCTCTCCCCCCTGGATCCGCCCATGCTTTATTAAGGCTCATTAAGCCTGCGCTTTGTCTGTGATGAACTTCCCCACTACACTCTTTTGATTCTCTTGAATCTTGATTCTCTTGAACGAAAACGGGAGTGTTTTGTCGGTCTTGTGAGGCAAAGGGGATCCAGTATGGTCCAGTTGTGGGGGTTGTTTGTCCATTTTGTCTGTCAATTTTAGTATTTTTTGAAGTTTGGAGTTCTTCTCTATTGGTATGCTTCTATATTTCAAGTGTGTTATTCTCTTCAGTCAGCCTCATCATTTTTATGATTGAACAAAAACGTGCTCGGGTTTTGCAGGTTTTTACTTTAATTTTTTGTTCTCACATTGATTTGTTGTTCTACTCATGTAAACTTTTTTAGATTATACAGCAGTTGGTTGCAAAAATTGATGGATTTTCGGCGGGGATTCAAAATAGGCTTCATATGTCTCTCGAGGCACTGTTGACACAGTGTACCCATACAAATGATTAAAGAGATATACATTCAGCAAAAATAGAGATATTTGCAAGAAAACTAAATTAATTATTTGGGCAATCCTATTTTTAATCGCCACTGCAAATAAAGTTTTTCTCATTAACGTCCCGTCGCAAACGCTTTCACTTTTTCAGAGGAGAAAATTGCTTGTAATAAACAAGACTGTAGATTTCCTTCTGTCGATTTAGGGTCAAGTTGATGCAGGTTTTGTCAGCACCTGCTGATAGTTTGCCAAAAGCTGTTTGTTCAAGATCTAATATCTTCTAGAATCGTTTTTTCATACCCCAAATGACCTCCAGTCGAATCACAATCTACAACGTAGGCGCATCCGTACAATCATCAAAAATTATTTGATAAATTATAAATAACAAGTCAATTATTGTATGGCAAACAAGCATTTGCATAGATTTTTATGGCGAATGTAAGGAAAAATTGTTACATGTAAGTAGCTTGTCCATTTAGCTTCAGTTAAGTTAGCGGGAGGGGGGAGAGCGCGACCTAAATAAACTGGTTTAGCGGCAGGACTGCCGGCCGGCGTTTTATTTCACTACTTTCCGAGTTTTCATTCCAACTTGTTCGCGTTCTTGTTCGGTCAATCACTGCTCTAGAAGCCCATCCTTAATTCGTTGAATTGCCCCATCCGGTAAGAAAAAATTGTACCACCTAACTATGTGTAGTCGCAATAAAGCTCCAGTTTATTGAACTCAAATATGTACTTTTCTACTGTATCATCCTGGTATCATTTAAGTTAACATTATTCCTAGTCCAGTTTTCAATGGTTGTTCAACAACTTAATTCGATTTGCATTTTTATTAGAAAGTCCCTAAGTCCTTAATCATTCGCAGTTATTCAAAAATTCCTTCTATCTTTGTTTTGTACTTTTTATGTTTCTATTATGCATTAATTTTTGCAATCCAACATGTCAAGTATATGAGTTGCATTCAAGGTTTTAGAATTATTGCGGTATATCTGCAAATACACAAATCTGCAATTAGAAATTTCCATTAATGTCCATTGCGACATATTATGTCCAAAAAAAAGTTGGCTGGAATTTTGACCTGAATTGAAAAATGTAGCTTGATGCTTTCGAGGCAGTAATCCTACGATTGGTGTATTCAGAGCTTTGTAGTAGGCTGAAAGATCAAGAATACGTGGCGATTCACAGGCCTATAAGCATCAGTTTCAAGCAAGAAAGTACTTTTCAATCAGATTGTTAATTATTCAAATCGGACCATTTAGTCTTGAATTATAGTCAATCTTCAGGTGCTATAAATCAGCTTGAGGGTTCTTCTAGCGTTTCTTTGAAACGGAAAAATAAAATATGTAAAAAAATGTTGCTGCTAATTTGATGGCGAATTTATCAACATTTTGTCTAGACTTATGCAAGAGGCTTTACCTCCAAAAGTAAGCACCGAAAAAGTTTTTCTACTGCGTTGGCTCCTATCAGCAAAGTTGCGAACTCAATTATTTCCAGCAATTTTCTTCTTCGTCGGTTCGATTATAGCAGCATTTTTTGTACATTTAAAGTCAGTAAACGTTCAATCGTAAAAAGTCGGTTATACATTACTGAAATATTAAGCAAACTTCTACTTCTACTGGGTAACCACGCAGACACGCCTTGAGTGTTTCTTATCATTATCTATGTTTTTTTTTTCACGCTTTGTACATATTAGTGCAATTTTTTCTACATTTGAGAGTACATGTCTAGTAACTGATAAAACTGGGAATTCTGTAAACTTATCATGGTAAAATCGATCTGGTAAAGTTGAATTCTTAGTCTTTAAATGTGTTGTTCTGATACTTTTCGCTTTTCTCATTTTTTTCCTTTTGGAGTCGGGCTGATTATTATTTCCGCAACAATTTCAATCTGTTTTTCGACTGGAACTCATTTTTGCAAAAAAGTGAATATTAGCACAATTGATGACAATCAAATAGCACAAAATTGCGACTTAAATTCATCCACTTAATGGTCAGATTGTGAAAAAATTTGAAATTCGGAATGTCGCAAAGGAACGTATTTATTTAACAATGCGAAAAATAGATGTTTTTTATCATCTCAAAAAACTGATTTTTTAAATTGTTCCTTTGCTGTTGAGAATTTAATATTCGACCGTTAACAACTTGTAGCTAATAATAAACGAATTCTCAAAAAAGAGGACCGGTTTGTCTACGGACACTTATTTGATTTGAAGATCAAATAGCCAAGTGAATCACCATTGTTCTTCGAGTTGTTTCGCAGGAAATGATGCAGCAGCTTTTAATTTGGTTAAAAAGATACAGCCTTGACTTGATTGTATTTGAAGAACATTGATCAAAATAAACTGCTTGCATTGAAATATCGTTTAAAGTGAGTTTATTTGTAGAATAACTACAATTGTATTAAAATACAGTTCTTAAACTGGTAACCATCAGTATTTGCAGTGAATTCATACCTGCATCAATCCGAAAATGGAATAACACCGTCATATAAATGCCTATTATTATTATGTAATTAAGTGAATTATCTTTGGAGGTTTGTTTGCAGGATAATTAAAAGTGAATTAAGGAGCTAATTATGTAACGATTTATAAAAAATGCGAGTTTGTCAGCCAACGGCCTTATATGTATTGTAAGGTGTTTCGTTTGAAATATTTTCTAGATTTTATCATTCTGAATTGTTACGTAACGTGCAATATTTTTTATGTGGGTTTTTGTCCTCGTTCTATTCGAATAGTGCAAATAGTCATACAAACATCAAGTGTTGCAAAGAAAAGTGTTTTGAAGAACAAAGACAAAAGATAAATGAATTAGCCCAAGAGCTTTCAGTGCATGCTATTGTTTCTCTGTATTTGCAGTTGCATTATTGTTTTTAATTACATGATCGATATGTCCTATGTGCAATAATGATATGTACACTAACAATGGAAATAAAATTTAATTATTGCGATAAGAATTCACTTATTATGGTCTCTATTTAGATTCGTATTTATATGATATCCGTTAAGCAACAGCGATGTTTTTTACTTTGGTTATCTCTCTTATTTATGTCTTCTATAAGGATTTTAATAACCGAAGACAGTAGGCATTTATTAACTTTTATCTTATTTGCCATTATTTAAACACGCCTTTATATGATATAAGTAAATGGTATTGTATTCAATGGTTTCAGCTTGCAGAAGCACTTCAACCACTGTTATTTGTCCTTTAGTAATTAGTCTGATATTTTCGTTGTGGTCATTTTACGTTCTTTGATAATTTTAATTTCCGGTGCTTCTTTTGCTAAATATGTTTAACTTGCAAATATTTCGATAAAACAAGAAAATAATTGCCCGGGAATAATCCATATGCGGTTGATATTTGACCCATTTATTTTTAACGAGTTTATCGATTTGTATTAGCTAGTCTATTATTGTGTCCTGGCATGGCCATTATTAATTCATAAATTCACTTAATAATGGGAAATTAATTACAGCTTTTATGGGAATTGGTTTCTTTTATTCTATTCTGTTTTCATGTTATAAAATGTATAATGGTTGAAAATACAAGGGCTAAATTGAAAATCTAGGCGTTCCCAGAGTTAGTTAGTGTTTGAAAGTGAAAAAATGCAAATTAAACAAAATAGGTATTAACAATATTTGACAAAGAAAATTTCAAGTAGGATCAGAAGTGACTTTACCCCCATTCGTTTTTCATTTAGATTTACTTTTGCAAGATCTTAAGGATTTTCTATTTACCAACATTTTTTTGAGCTCGCAGTTTGTTTTACTTCTATCAGGTTATTTATTCAATATTTTTCAAAGTGTAAACTGTTATTTGGGTATCGTCGACCAATTAATTTTTTATTTCAATTTTTAAATTATTTATTGGCAAGCCTTAACTTACTCGTTAAAAATAAAAAATCCTCACCAATATAAAACTCTTAATATTATTTCAAAAGATTAACCATTAGGATGGCAAATTTTTACTGGTTGTTTTCAAACATGAGAAACATTTTATTTTTCTCTTTGCTCTCATTTTATCTCCTTTCACCGACCATGTCCGTCTTCCTATGCAGCGCCTTTTTTCCTGTTGTCGATATTCTTAATCCTTGTTAAAGAAAAATACGTATGTCCTCTTGCATACAAATTTCACACAAAAATTTAATAATGTTTTGTTTTATTTATTAGGCATATTAAATTAGTTATTTTGCAATTGAAAATGTCCAAGCATTTTTCTTTGTAACATTAAATTAGTTATCTGCACTAAATTTGTTAGTTTTTTATTTGATGGAGTCTAGTTATCTTGGTTCAATATAATTTCAATTTTTATTTGAATCACTATTTATTTCTATCACTATTTATTTGAAAACTGGTCGTAGATCGCATGCAACTCGTACATGTATATGTATTTACAAAATAAAAAAATCTATGGCATAATGGAAAGTATCGATAATATAGGCGAGTATTCAGCCCACTATTTCCATTTCAATCTCCTACATATTTTGTAAGCCATCAATTATTATATTCGACCTCGTCGTGTCTATGACAAAGCTATTGCCGTAAATTTTAATTATTTCCTTTGATCTGCTATCGAATTACAGTGGTTGTGAACCAGGTTGAGAATCAATGCGTTGTAAATAAATAAATAAATTGCGGAATAACATAATTTTAATTGTTATTTTAGCTGGAATATGATGGAAATAATGCTTTTATATCTATTTCAGATTAATTGATTCATTATGACTATTGATTTCTACTACCTTCCTGGATCTGCTCCATGCAGATCAGTCGCTCTAACTGCAAAAGCTTTGGGTTTGGAACTCAACTTTAAACTGACGGACTTGATGGCTGGCGAAAATCTTACCCCAGGGTTTATCAAGGTAAAATTACAAAAAAGCTTAATTTCAACAACAGCTTTGAAATAAATTGAGCTTGAACATTATTTATATTTACAATGACACTATTCGCAAGTTAAATATTTAGATTTTTATGTTACGTTTCACTTCATCTGTTATATGCATCGCCACATGACCTCTATCTGATAGAATCGGTAAATGCTCCACTAAAACATCCTTGACGGTTTAAATAACTTCGCTGGATAATCTTATTATGCGGTTTTATGTTTCTCTTGATACGATTTTTGCAAATTTTCCGTCAACAATCATGTACATATTTAACTTAGCGCTTCGGATAATTAGTGGTAGATAATGCCTCTGTTTTTTGGGTTGATCGGTCAAACTTTAGATTTTTTTCTTTGCCCAACGTTTCGGCTTTATTTAAGCCATCATCGGGGCTTTAAAAGTAACAAAAACTTAACAGGGTATTAAAATTAAATAAAAGTTATTTGCCATATCATAAAATGTAAACGGAACCGAAATATCAGTGAAATTGAACATAAAAGACAAATAATCAACCAAGCCGAAAATTTGGCGCTAGAAAAATAGAACGATCAACCCAAAAAACAGAAAGCAATATCTATCACTAATTATTATCACGGTCACCAAGAAACTTCAACACTTGGGATAATGCTCTTTATCAAGTTTTATATTAATGTTATTAATTGATGCAAAGTTTTTTTTTCATTAGTGGTCTGTTGAATTTTTATAATCACATTTTAACCGATTTGGTTTCATTTGATGCATTTTATACACGTTATCTGCGTTATAAGAGACAGTACGACGAAATAAACTTTAAATAAAGCTGGATGATTGAAACCACTGCGATTTTTGCTAACAAAAATATTTTTAGTTGAATCCACAACACACAATTCCAACTATCGATGACAACGGGTTCTCTTTATGGGAAAGTCGTGCCATTATGACTTATTTGGTGAACGCATACGGAAAAGACGATTCCTTGTACCCGAAAGATCCAAAGAAGAGGGCAATAGTCGATCAGCGACTGTACTTTGATATTGGTACCTTATATGGGAGGTTTGCTGATTATTATGTAAGCTGAATATTAGTTAGAGATAATATAATATAATATTGATTTTGTTTTTAGTTGGCCATGAATAATATGTTTCATTTAAATGTGTTATTTGAAAAGTTCTAACAGCCGAATTTTTATGTTTCAAATCTTGTTTAACAACGTTCTTAATTTAGGGCATTAAATTCACAAATATTTTGTATTTTTTAAATTAAAAATATGAAGCTCACTTCATATAGGAATGACGCCAATTTTGAATCACCCTCTATATAAAACTTTATCAGAAGTATGAATCATAAACAATATTTTACAAGTCCAGACAGAAATCTGGTCTATCTAACATGCTTAGTTTGATTTGATCAGTAACTTTTATCCCAAAACATTCCGTATAATTTCATATCACACTTTTCATTGGTTTTAGTATCCTATCATCTTTGCCGGTGCTTCTAAAGATGCTGCCAAGATGGAGAAAATTAATGATGCCATGAAGTTCTTGGATATTTTCCTGGAAGGACAAAAATTTGTCGCTGGTGATCAACTAACTGTAGCAGATTTGGCTATTGTTGCTACAATTTCTACTTATGAAGTTGTCGGTTATGATCTAGCCCCTTATAAGAACATTACTAAGTGAGTAGACGGCGTAATGTTGATATTACAAGGATAAATGTTTCTTTATTAATTGATCTAATCAAATCAACACTTACGTTTTCGGGCGTTTAAATACATGATTTAGATTTGGTACTAAGGAACAAAATTTGTAGGTGGTTTAATAATATCAAGCAGACAGCTCCTGGATATAAGGAAGCCAACGAAGATGGGTGTCAGGCCTTCAAAGCTATGGTGGATAATTTGACCAAAAAGTAGGATTTTTGGTCACATACACATGCACATTCGCAGTATTTTTATGTTTATGTTATTATTAAGTACTGTTGATCATTACTGATCTGTGTATCTCATTTTTATACCCTTTATAATACAAGAGTATATAAATAGAAAACTATTTCTTATGTATTTGAATAAACGTTTTAAAATTAGTGGCTGCTTTTATTATTGTTATATTTGCATATGTAGGAAGACTTGGGTGTCTACTAATGGAATCATCCGCTTTTAGCGGAGTATTTTGGTGACCTGCTAATTTGTAAAACAACACTCTCCAAGTAGTCAAGTTTCAATAGTAATATAGATTTTTTGGCGTAGAATTTTTACAACAAACGCCTTTATAGTCGTGTCTTTTTTTATTTAAATAGGTTTTTTGCATCCATCCATTTAAATTTTATTTCATTTTATGCTTTAAATTAATGACTGAGGAAACAAATTCAATTGCGATCAGAACGTAGTCGGTATTTCTGCCCGTTGATATAATGAAAATCAGTGGAAATAAAAATTTTGCGCATTTGAAGATTGGAAGTTGCAATTTTCCCAGATTGGAAAAGATAATTTCTCTTAAATAAAGTGAATTTTTAAAATTCTCCTTTAAATACGAAACTTCTTTTCTTTCTATCTTTTAACAATTTACATTTGTCCATCAAATTTACTTGATACTTTTTTGTAAGCATGTTGTTTACTGCGAATGTCTTCGTTGATGCCAAGTTTAAAAAAAAATCTACTTATTTGCGAGCTGATTTGGTACCTGATAATTTTTAATTTATGTTTTACCTTTTGCGAAACACAGTTCTTTAAGGATTCGTCATTTACAAGTCATATTTGATTTGTACAGTAAGTAAGTAACAAAAACACATAAAAAATGTTTATATTTGAAACATTTGGTTTTGTTATTATAATTTTCTTGTTGGTTTTTTCTTGTCGATGTAAAAAATGCGCAACTATAAACAAAAATTGAACCGGCCAAGCCATGTAACGAAAACGTACATTTTGCCCTCAATTGTGTGGTTTATGGGAAAGAAGTCTTATTTTTCATTTCGTTTTGGTGCTATTGACTTTTGGTTTAAAATGCGACAAATCAAGCGGAAGCAAACATAAAGATTGATTATGAGATAATGAAATTGTTCATTGAAAAGTTAAATGTATGGAAAATTCATAAAACACACGTTGTTTTAAATGTCTTCATTTGCAGGCTCTTCCAAGACTAGATGCACAATTTCACTCTGACCTGGACTTTTTGAACTTATTTTTGATCTAACAATAATTCAACCAATACGGCTTCTTTCTTAAAATACATTCAGTCTTATGGGACGAGACAATTTCGTTTCAACTAAAACACATGTTGTACAAGGTGGTCAAAATTTTGTCAAAGTTTTCCCAAGAAGCTTTCGAGAAGGGAAGAAGTGCAGGCAGAAACCAGCGCAAGCTCTATCAATAAAAAAGTTTACCATAATCACGAAGTTAATTTTATTTATAAGGCGTAATAATACCTGGGCTATTCAAGCGCCATATATAATCCATTAAAAACTGGAAAGCTCTAATGTAAAATAACGTTTTGGCTGCTGCCATTAACACAAGAGAAACTATGGAAAAAATTTGCCAAATATTTTGATTTTTTATAAAATTTGTTTTTTGCCTTGATTTATTCTTCTGCTAAGCTTCCAATCGCAAGCAAGGTATCGTTTATGCTGTTGTATATACAGTAAAGTCTGCTTATAATGAACCCGGTTATAGTAAACTTTCGGTTAAAACGAATTTTTTTCCTTTAATTGAAACGTCGTCCATAAAGACCAACGTATTTGTTCACTGGTTATAACGAAC